TCGTGGGTCAACGCCCGTGAGCAGAGCGATCACATGCGGCCTGCACGCCTTTACGCCCCACGCGGTGGCTGCAATGAGCTGTGACTAAAGAAGGGCACTGATTTAAGAGGTTAACAAATGTGTCTCACAAATAAAATTTGAAAAAATACAATTTATTACTTATTGTGGAAGTACTGGATTTTTTTTTACATTAATAGCAGCGCCTTCCTAATTTTTTTGACTGCATATTAGAGTGATCTGCTCCACTTATGGATGAGGTGCATGGAATCAATTCAAATTCCATTTCACTCGCTAAAAGCGACTACACATTTTTTGTTAAAAACAATTTCATTTGTATTTAAATTTAGTTCTGCCATAGGTGTTACACTGTTATGTCATGATACAAAGTACGAATTTGGCACTCTCACAGATCAGTGCATTAATCCGTGCTAGAGAATAGCCCACTGAAGTTGATATTACAGAACAACTTCTGAGATTTCTTCAAGCAATCTCCAAATCAATGCACTTTCAACATACTGTAGAGGCGTTAACTACTCACTGTTCGGTAACCTGCATTGCCACTAGGTATCAAAGGGGCAGTGCAGCGTTACCTCTGTGTGTACATAACGGTTGGGGTCAGACGAGGTGAAGTGGATCGTAGCCACAGTTTGGTAAGAACCAATCAGACAGTTCCACGTGGGAATGTGGGATTGGTTACACCTGGCTACAAACGGGTATAAGAAGGGTGACCGCGCAGAGCGGGGAGTTCTCTCCCTGCACGAAGACCGAAGCCCGGGCTGAAGATAGCCAGGACCCTGGACCCAGCCTTCTAGCCCTTCTGAGGGCTAAGACTCGGCGCATCCAGTGGTCAAGACCCACCGGGCCAGCGGTCGGTCAGATAGCCTCCCCTAGGTCAAAGCCTAGGATAGCGGTAGGTTAGGAAGAGACCTGTGTGTAGGTCATGCTAAGTCCGGAGGCTGTACCTTAGGGTATCGGGTGAGGGGACCGTATACCCCTCTGTGTGTTAAGGACTGTGTAAGAGAAGTATTACAATAAACAGAGTGTGCCTCATAAGAAGTGTATTCGTCATTATAAACACTACAATACCATGATTGCATAGAGATGCATTAATGTTATGGCATTCAAACCACTGTAGTTTTGTTTTTATCTCAGAGCTGGAGATGAATCAATATAAGTGAAAACCCACATTTAATGACGAGTTTTTGTGTGCGGTCATCGATGACTGGGCAAAGACCATGAACTCAGATTCGAGCCCACAATTTTACTAGTGCCAGCTCAGTGATCTGAACCTTGACTCCTGAACCACATGGTCACCGTACTAAAAGCAAAATTAATAGGCAGTAAGAGTAACATCCCATTCTGTAACTTTGTTGAACTATTGCTGTCATTCATTCATGAATTAATCAATTATATAGCAAGCACAAGTTCAACTTAAAAAAGGGGTAATTCTTATATTCCTAACTACAGATTAATTTTAGTTCTTATCCATGACACAATTATGAGCTGTGCAACTGTTTAAATGATGCTTTTCATAAAAGAGGATATTAAGTATTAAAATATTCTAAAATTGTGTACACTTGCACCACATTTTGCCATTGTGTTTCTCCCAAGTCCTGTCACAGGGAAGACGACTTCTCGAAGGGCTCTCACAGGATTAAATAACGATTGCACGCACTTGCAAAACATCAACCGGCAAAATTGTATCCCATCACGTAAAATGAAACTACATTTTAGTGCATTTGTATATGGGTCCCGCCTGATAAATATGTAACAGCAGTGTTTGTTTTAAACACACACACACACGCTGCAGTGGTTTCGACCTCCTGGGTCTTCTTAGCAGAGCCAGCCCTATTAAACAAATGCTATTTTATTGAGAGACATTATTGTCAAGCGCCGTCCGCTAAGCTACGGGGCCAATTTCAACACAAAGCAGCAAAACGGTCTGAATTTACGATGAGCTGGTTTAAAAAATGAATGATAATGTGCAAATGAGCAAACACGCAAAAGTCTGTCTGCACATATAAATAAATAACAATGCTTCCATTGTAGCACTCAGGTCAGAACTAGTCCAGAGGTTGCTGAAAGAAAGTTCTCCTGAAAGGCGTTCTTAGCAATAACATCAGGTAACCCAGTGGTATTTTATAACTGCGCCACACCCTGCTGATGTGACTGTGAGAGCTGAAACCAGGCCAGCATTTCCCTGCTTAAATAAATGCCACTGGAAAACATTTATCCAGGAGTCAAACTGACAGATGCACTCAACTTGTTGCATTTACATGGTCAGACGGATCATCGTCTATTGCATTATTTTCTTTTATCTTCACAATCACAATGAGAATCAGAATCTTTACTTAGACCAGAGGAATCCGATGAGCTATGAAGCTCTTTTTCACAGATGTTCAGTAACAAGCGTACAAATACACGTACGAGGGGTGGCAGCTTTATGAATACACACAAGAGTTGTGTGATGTAAGATGTCAAAAGTAAACAAAAGTGGCTTAGTGCTCAAACAAGGAGATAGCAGGAATCATGTTCTGTATACAGCCCTGAGCCAGTTGTGAAATATCCACATTTCAATATCAGGGTCAGTCTATCCTTCGGACAACCACAATTGACTTCCTCACAAAGCAGTACTCATTTTTCGATTTAAAGCTTTCGTGACTGCAAGGATTCGTCTTCTTTCGTTCTTTCGGTAAAGTCACATAGAATGAGAATAAAATAATAAATTGATAGAATAAAATAACACAATAATATTCTCACGACGTTTCGGCCACAACACAAGCGGCCTTCATCAGGTGAAGGGACGAGACTGTCTGGTAGGACAGCGCTGGAGTGAAAAAAGCCACGTTCAGATCACGACCATTACGCTGTGTCAGAAGAAACAAAGCGCCTTGACAAAGGAATTAGCATATAATTTAGCACTGAAATGGCCGAGTGATTAGCTTGTGACTGGTCACAGAGATGGCTATGTTAAAGTTAAAGCATACACATCCGCAGAGGCACCCCTTGACAAAGGAATTAGAGATTCGTTCATGAGGCCATTCACATATACAAGCACAGAGACAATTTCAACCGAGAAGATGGATTCTGGCTTAGTAACCATTGGAAAGATGTTTTAAACCATTTCTGTTCTTAATTAATTGTATTTTACGATGACCTTCAGACCGCAGCTCTTTCACCAGCATTGACTCTTAATACCTCTCACACCACGGTTAATGGTATGGTTTACAACATGGAGTATAATAGCGCCTCGCAGCTGTCTCTCTCCCCCTCCTCTGTTCCGACCTTGGATGAACTCGTCCGTCTGAACGGGGCCCGTAGCTATCCGTGTTGCTAAAGTTGAGGGTAAGAATCCACCCATTTTTTCGCCATATAGCATTGTGATATATAACGACTTATTGTTGGTAGCTTAGCTGATTGGAGAATATAGAGTTTATTGATAACATTAAGGTAATATATATTTTAGTTTTTTATTGGTTTACTATATAGTATTCATTATACATTGTATTGTATACCCAGTTACTGTGAATAGCTCAGATGTGTAGACCTTGACTTCAACATAGCCATTTCTGTGACCAGTCACTAGCTAATCACTCAGTTATTTCAATGCTAAATTCGCCTAGTTATTTCAATGCTAAATTCTCCTGTTTGATTTGTACTAGGTGCCTCGGTGAATGTGTATGCTCTGACTTTAAACATAGATATTTCTGTGACCAGTTACAAGCTAATCACTCAGCTATTTCAATGCTAAATTATATGCTAATTCCTTTGTCAAGGGGTGCCTCTGCGGATGTGTATGCTTTAACTTAGCTATTTCAATGCTAAATTATATGCTAATTCCTTTGTCAAGGGGTGCCTCTGCAGATGTGTATGCTTTAACTTTAACATAGCCATCTCTGTGACCAGTCACAAGCTAATCACTCGGCCATTTCAATGCTAAATTATATGCTAATTCCTTTGTCAAGGCGCTTTGTTTCTTCTGACACAGCTTAGAGGTCGTGATCTGAACGTGGCTTTTTTCACTCCAGCGCTGTCCTACCAGACAGTCTCGTCCCTTCACCTGATGAAGGCTGCTTGTGTTGTGGCCGAAACGTCGTGAGAATATTATTGTGTTATTTTATTTTATCAATTTATTATTTTATTCTCAGTACTCATTTTGATTAACCACGGAAAGGATGAGTGTCCAAGTCGACCATGGGCCATGAATTGAACGAAAAACTTTCCAACTGCCAACCACACGATCTAACTGTGCGCCACTAGACCGTTTCACGTCCACACTGGATCTCCAAATATGTAGCGGAAGATTCCGCGGTGGAAAATGGTCAAAATGAGAAAAACAGTGGGCAAATCAAACCAGACAAGGGGGAGTTGGCCGGTCGCGCTCCCTAACAACCGGTGCACCAGCGCTGTTCGCCAGGGCTAGCCCGAGCGGTCAGATAACAAAATCATTTGATTCCTGCAGCTATCGAGTGTGCAGGTGGTGCAGCTGTACAGGGGGTAAAATTGGCCACAAGCGCACAGGAGCCGGGCTACCATATCATTGCGAGCACCAGGGCCAGTGCCAACCACACCGTGGGCAGCGACCACCTCTGTGTAGGCCATTGTGGCCGTTGCGCTTTACAGATGTCCGATGTGCATTCGGGTTGTGCCACGTGTCGTCCGACGTCATTTCCCCTCCACGGGGTTGAGAGCGTCTTTCAAGAACTTCAGGAAGCGACGAAAGCTCCCGGCACGTGGACCGAGAAATGTTAGGATGGCCCATGTCAAACGGCCTACGACGTCGAAAACCCAAGCGGCAGGGCCCCCCGGACGGCGCGACCGCGAACGCCGCACGCGTGCGGCAGGGGCTCGTCGCTGCCCGGCGCGCGACTCGGCGGCATAGCATGGAATGGCACAGGCCCGGGGCGCGTGAAAGGAGAAGTTTAATGGGGTGTCGAGAGAGCGACCGCAATCCCCCCCCCCCCCCTGCCCGCCGCAGAGCGTCTGCCGGCGCCCGATACCTCTCGCTCGGGGTTGAGCTGCAGGTTCAGCATGGCCACGGGGTGCGCTGCACCGTGGGTAGGGGGGGGGGTCCCCGGGCAGCGCGTGCCCCGGCTCCCCGCTAGGCAACCCCGAGGCCCCGTTGCCCGGGGGCCTGTGGCCGCCACCAGGGCCCACCGAGAGGAACCTCTTGACCGACGGCCTCTGCCCCGGAGGCATGTGGTACTTGGCCGAGGCGTCCATGTGCGACGGTGCCTGGTATATGAACACACCGGTGGGGGGGGGGGGAGTGGGGGGAGGGTTGGAGCGAAGGTCGCGGTTCAGTGCGGTGAACGAGGGGGAGTGCAATTTGACGTTCGAGGCGGGCGAGGACCAAGCGAACCTCAGATTGCCGTCCAAGTCGGGGGTTGGTGGGGACGAACCCGCGACGAGTGAAGTGGTTTTATTCGGTCGCATCGCGGAATGCACCGAGGCCTGTTGATTGCGGGGGGGGGGGGAAATCCCACCTCATTGGAACCGGCCTCATTAGTTTCCAGAACGTGCCTAGAGGCCGCACATTTATTTCAAATGTGTTCTGGTGCGATGCACGCGGAACCCCATACAATTTAACGTTCAGGTTTCCCGCCCACGCTGCACGTGGCCTGCACGCTGCGTTGTGTCACTGTTAGGGTGCCCGCCTCCTGTTGCCAACTAGCGGCAGCGGCTGAACGCTGCAGTTGACGCCGTGATCAGCGGTGATCAACGACGAGCCAACGTAAATCATTCGTGCACGAATTCGTCTTTCAAAGAGTCTAAAAGGAGAGGAGGAGGAGGGGGTCTTATTATTAGTCTATTTCAACACACACAGCGTCACGCGAGCGTTAACGCCCTTTGCCACGATATATTTGTAGTCCTGCCAAAGCCGATTTAACGTACGTTCAACTAAACAGAGCCACCAGAGTTGTACGAGCTGCCAAATAATTTGTGTCGTAAGTAATGCGAAGTCGATGCAACTACTGGCGACTGACTTCGTAGTGAGCCCACTGACCCGAGTGCCTCCTGTGTACTCAAAGTCTCCAATGGTCGAGAAAAATCACCGTTTGTGCCACCTTGGTGAATGGATACACCAGGCTGTGAGTGGTCAGGCAGCACGGTTCGGTTAACTTCTTAAGGTCCCGCCGAAAAACTTTTCTCTTTCAGAGGGAACTTTCTGTTTTAGCTTATCCACTTCTTACCCAACACAACCCCCATTGTCATCGTATGCACAGTATGTACGTTGAACTTTTTTCGCACCGTACGTAGCCAATCTGAGATGTAAATCGCATTGAGATTTGACGAAAGGTGCTCTATAAGCCGTAATTAATGTTGGGTTTTTTAATATAATAATTAATCCCATGATTTTTTTTTTTATAAAAATGTTGCCGATGTCCAGACACCTAGGAACGCCCACAGTGGCTGCACCCCTTGTGTGCAACGAAAGCGATTTGCAGGGCGTACGACAGGGTAGCTAAGAAGCCTGCTCAAGTTGTGACGATGCCACGGGATGTGATGCAACAATGCGATGTTCTGGGACAGTTCTGCGACGCGAGGCAGTAAGCAATGTTCGCTGCAAAAGCGCTTGGCACAATGCCAACAGAACAATTGGAAATGTTATCAAACGAATGCCAACATGTTAAGGATTTTAGCAATTTGACAGTACAGATGTTGTTCATGTGTTGTTTTTCCTTGTATTATTACACGCTTGTTTTAAACTCTGTCTGTTGGTGTCGTTGTATCCTCAAATCTTGTAACTCAATTTTAACCCACTTCCCAATGTGGTATAGACTGCAAACTTGGTATACTTATGTCATACTGATGACAATACTATATTCTATCATAAAAAAATATATTTTTCAACCTTATTTTTTATATGTTATGTTTCGGCTTGGGTCAAATTGTCCACGCTCAACTCACGTTGGCTGTAACTGACCACGGGCCCCTTACTTCGTGGCAAGCTTCGGGGCCACTTCCTGGAGTCGTGGAGTTTTTCCATTACGAGTACGGTACATTTCATTAAAGCGTGTTTTTAAAACAAGTTTTTTAAAAATATTACTTATTTTCTAATTCACGTAAAATAACACTGAAAAAAACAAATAAATGTTTTTGTATTTGGAGATGTATGTTTAACTTATTTTGCAAGGGACGAAGGCAACCATGCTCATCGGAGGTGCGGATATGTGAAGGGGACATTGTCTGCTTGTTTGTTTTGTTATTTATATTCTCCACGACGACGCTAATTATTATCTTGAGTTAGGGGCCGTCCATAAACGACGTCACGCACCTAGGGGGGAGAGTCAGACATTTGTGACGATGTGTGACGAGGGGGAGGGTTTGAGAAATGTGACGTCACCTCAAAATGCGCAACTTTAAACAAATATAAACACGTTCTACTTAATTATACTTTTTAATAAATGTTTTCTCCTACAACATCGGAGTGCAGCGCCACATTAAATACGCACTATGACAATAGCTTAAAGCGATTTGAAGCATGTTTTATTTTGGGGGGGGGGCAGAGCTTTGACGTCATATTTGAGGGGGGTCTGACTTTTCGTGACGCCGTGTGACGAGGGGGGGGGGAGTCGAAAATCGTCCAAAATCGCGTGACGTCATTTATGGACGGCCCCTTACGTATCATATACTTTTCCGTCAAAACCAGGACCAATATTTTAAACAGAGGGTCCTTGCCTACAACAACTGACAATTTCACCAGCACTGATTCAAGAAAGCATGACTCTGCTGATGAGACACTGTACAGGGAGGGAAAAAGTATTTGATCCCCTGCTGATTTTGTACGTTTGCCCACTGACAAAGAAACGATCAGTCTATAATTTGAATGGTAGGTTTATTTGAACAGTGAGAGACAGAATAACAACAAAAAAATCCAGAAAAACGCATGTCAAAATGTTATTAATTGATTTGCATTTTAATGAGGGAAATAAGTATTTGATCCCTCTGCAAAACATTACTTAGTACTTGGTGGCAAAACCCTTGTTGGCAATCACAGAGGTCAGACGTTTCTTGTAGTTGGCCACCAGGTTTGCACACATCTCAGGAGGGATTTTGTCCCACTCCTCTGCAGATCTCTCCAAGTCATTAAGGTTTCGAGACTGACGTTTGGCAACTCGAACCTTCAGCTCCCTCCACAGTTTTTCTATGGGATTAAGGTCTGGAGACTGGCTAGGCCACTCCAGGACCTTAATGTGCTTCTTCTTGAGCCACTCCTTTGTTGCCTTGGCCGTGTGTTTTGGGTCATTGTCATGCTGGAATACCCATCCACGACCCATTTTCAATGCCCTGGCTGAGGGAAGGAGGTTCTCAATCAAGATTTGACGGTACATGGCCCCGTCCATCGTCCCTTTGATGCGATGAAGTTGTCCTGTCCCCTTAGCAGAAAAACACTCCCAAAGCATGTTTCCACTTCCATGTTTGACGGTGGAGATGGTGTTCTTGGGGTCATAGGCAGCATTCCTCCTCCAAACAAACACAGCGAGTTGAGTTGATGCCAAAGAGCTCCATTTTGGTCTCATCTGACCACAACACTTTCACCCAGTTGTCCTCTGAATCATTCAGATGTTTATTGGCAGACTTCAGACGGGCATGTATATGTGCTTTCTTGAGCAGGGGGACCTTGCGGGTGCTGCAGGATTGCAGTCCTTCACGGTGTAGTGTGTTACCAATTGTTTTCTTGGTGACTATGGTCCCAGCTGCCTTGAGATCATTGACAAGATCCTCCCGTGTAGTTCTGGGCTGATTCCTCACCGTTATGATCATTGCAACTCCACGAGGTGAGATCTTGCATGGAGCCCCAGGCCGAGGGAGATTGACAGTTCTTTTGTGTTTCTTCTATTTGCAAATAATCGCACCAACTGTTGTCACCTTCTCACCAAGCTGCTTGGCAATGGTCTTGTAGCCCATTCCAGCCTTGTGTAGGTCTACAGTCTTGTCCCTGACATCCTTGGAGAGCTCTTTGGTCTTGGCCATGGTGGAGCGTTTGGAATCTGATTGATTGATTGCTTCTGTGGACAAGTGTCTTTTATACAGGTAACAAGCTGAGATTAGGAGCACTCCCTTTAAGAGTGTGCTCCTAATCTCTGCTCGTTACCTGTATAAAATATATCTGGGAGCCAGAATTCTTTCTGATTGAGAGGAGGTCAAATACTTATTTCCCTCATTAAAATGCAAATCAATTTATAGCATTTTTGACATGCGTTTTTCTGGATTTCTTTGTTGTTATTCTGTCCCTCACTGTTCAAATAAACCTACCATTAAAATTATAGACTGATCATTTCTTTGCCAGTGGGCAAACGTACAAAATCAGCAGGGGATCAAATACTTTTTTCCCTCCCTGTATGTTGAAAGCGGTCGAGACGTTGCTCATCTTGAATCAATGCTGCTGAAATTACGCACTCCCAGAATTCTGTTCGGCTGATGGATTAGGAAATAAATATTTTTTAATTTCCACGTGGAGAAATAGATAAGTGAGGAATACGTTAAAGAGTTTTTTTTGGGTCAATGGGGTGCACGAAGTCCACCCCATTGACGATGACGATGATGATTATCTATAATAGAGGGTTTTCTGGGTGAGATCGTGTAAATATATAAATGTGTCGTTAAAACTCGCCACCACCCGACACAGCCAACTAGTAATGGTTGTCACGTAAATAGAACGTTGCCAATTCGTTACTAGTACAGCACACCGGTGTGTTGGAGAGCCAAGCCACAACATTTACAATCTGAGTACGATGTTTCGCCAGTAATTACAAGTAGCTTCATCAGGCAACGGCCAGATTTGTGGAGAAGTCTGTTTCGTTCCTTATATAGAGGCGTAAATGTGGTGGCCACGCTTTTGACGACACATTTATATATTTACGGAATCTCACCCAAAAAACCTCTATTATGGATGATATTGGTCGCGAAAGCCTACGTATTAAACTAGGAATACATAGTTTGCTTTTTGTGTGTAAAATAAATTAGTATACTAACGAAACATGGGTCCATACGAGACCGTCTCAGAACCCTTGATGAAATGTGAAATAAAACTACGCAGGCATTTACTTTATGCAGTTCGTAGGATTTTGTTTTTGTTAAACATGACTATGGGAAGTTATTTTCAAAATCGCACTAACACGACCAATCAAATAGGGGAACATTTAGAACAGCTGTGGAAATTACGCTTACATCTCGGTTGCCTTTAGATGGCCAAACAAATATTGATTTTGAACGTTGAAGCGAAATCC